AAGAAATTTCCACTGTGCGCTCTTTGGATTGGGCATTCAAGGACCCTGTTCAAATGTAATTGTCTCCTAGAAGAGGTATGACTTTCTGCCACCCAGCCATTATCACCATGTCCTATCACTGTGCCTGGTACATATTAGGCGTTATTTATATGATGTTCTTATCAGATATTCAGACTTTAGAATGTATGAGTTTACCTGATTAATTCTACTTGCCTGAGAACAGTCCTGAAGAGATGGAGAAGGGGACAGATAAGCTTGCATAAGAGTGAGAGGTCATAAGGGCTTCACCATTCAAGCTTCAATCTCCATGGCACACAGTGTAAACCATACACAGACACCATGCCCCTTTCCAAAGTCATTCTTTTTTTTTTTTCCCCAGTTAAATGGAAAGCCAGGCTGTCCTCCTTACCAGCAAAGTCCTGTGCTGGGCAGTAATTTGGCAGAGCCACTTTGTGCCCTGGCCTTCTGCCTAGCCCACTGATTTAGCTCTTTAATCACATCATTTAAGCCTACAAATGTCACAGATTCCACTTGAAAAACATCTCTGGCCAGCCACACAGAAAGGAGAGAACATGATGAGCCCCCTGAGACAACCTGTTACACCATACTTAATCTTTCATGCTTGGGAGACTACGTTGGGAGTATGGTTCACTGACAGAATGGCATGAAGTGCTGGCTGGTTTGGTTTTCTTCAGTGAAGCATATAGCTCAAAGCCAGTGCATAATGATGGTAAAACCAACCTCACCTCTTGGCTTAGGTTAATGACGGATGAGTGTGATATGTCAGCTATAAAGATAAAGGGTAATGGGAAAGAACCTTCCCAATAATACATCCTCAAGAGATGCCAGAAATCCCATCATTATTTGTTCCCAGAATAACAGCAGATTAGGACTAACAGCCAGCATCTGGAAAGAAAAGATTGGTCTCAGAACCTGGAGCAAGGCTGAGGCTAAAGTTGTAAGTGAAGGTCAAGTTGGCCCCAGATATGCAGATTAAAAGAGGCCAGTGAACTAGACAAGTCCTTAGACATTTTTATGTCATTCTCAGTGCATAGTGCAGAGATGGGGATAGCCACTTAAAAGAGATGCCAAGTCTAAACACCAGCCTTCTTCTGTCTCTTCCAGCACATCTTTCCATTCTTTCTAGTCACACAACTCTTTACTTCCAAGGTGCCAAGAACTTGCTTGATGAAGGAATCCATGCCAAGGTATTACTTGCTGTTAGCCACTTGATTATTATTATTATTATTATTCCTGACAGGTAGTTTTGGAGATATACTGCTTTAAAACAAAAGAGTGACTCTCTAATAGTAAAATCTCATGCAAACCTCTGGAGGAGATATTTTTCTCATAACACAACCCTCTGGCATTGAATTGGACTAGGTTATTTCTAAATGCAAGAGATGAAAAGAGAAACTAGACTTTGAATCAACTATGTATCTTCCAATTATACTTATTTCAAGTCTCAAATTACCATGGTTTTATGGTCCTCTCTCTACTGCTATAACTCAAGCATCTGGCATGTAGTGAGAATTCATTGAATGGTAGTGCTTATTGCCTTCGTTATTATTAGAGGCAGTAATAATACAGCCCACTACCTGGTACAGTGCCTGGGACATATTAGGTATTCAAAAATATAAAAATTATTTTTATATCTTTATTGCACTAGCTCCTGGCATAGTGCCTGGTATATAATAGGGCACTGATTGAGTTAGTTCCCTTCCTTCTAACCTTTCCCTGGAATATGTTTGTCTTCTGTTTCCTCACAGCTGTACCTCACTAAATTGGTTGCAGACCTTTCTGTAGTTTTAGCACTTAGCCTAACACCACCAGGGACACCATCAAAGAAAAACCAGCCATTCTTTTCTCCCATGGTAGCCTCTTGAGTGGCAAGCAGGCAACAAGTGTTTGAGGTCATTTTGTAAATAAGAAAACAAAGTCTTGGAATTTTAACTCATCTCTAATCCCTTGTATTCTATCACAGCCTGAAAAATAATTTTCACATTTTCCCCCAACTGTCTCTCAGCTATGCCATGAACAGTCTCACCTCTAGCCCTTTGTCCTTGCACTCTGTGGTACCTGGAATTTCCTTATCAATTAATTCATCCCTCAGAGAGTAGCTTAAGAGCCACCTCTTCCATGAGACCTCCAACCTTAACTAATCTTTCCTGTTTCTGAAATCTCCAAGTATCAAATCAGTACCACATAATTTAGCAGTTCATGCCATGACTACACCGAGCCTTCTCAGATAGCTTGTATTTATTTGCACATTAAACACCCATTTACTGAGCACTACAGTGGTCCAGCTCCTGTGCTTGTCCTGAGAAGGCAAAAAACAAACCAGATACGCAATTGAGTGCTGTTAGAGAAATGTGCTCAACCTGCCCGAGGAGAACTCAGAGGGAGATTGGCTAACTTCATGATGACACTGGAGGAGAGAAGAGGACCTATGAGTGAGGTGCTGAAGCATGGATAAGAGTTTGTTAAATAAAGAGACCATGATGAAGTCATGGGTAAAGTCATAGTCATAAAAAGGTAACAGAGCACCTAGGAAAACACATAGTATGGCTAGAACTTAAGGTGGCATGGAGAGTGTGTTGCTGTTAAGTGCTGTTGAGTCAATTTCAACTCATAGTGACCATGTGTACAACAGAATGAAATATTGCCCAGTCCTATGCCATCCTCACAATCATAGCTGTGCTTAAGCCCATTGTTTCAGCCACTGTGTCAACCCATCTTATTGAGGGTCTTTCTCTTTTATGCTGGCTTTACTAAGCATGATGTCCTTCTCCAGGGACTCAAACCTCCTTCTAACATGTCCAAAGTCAGTAAGACAAAGTCTCACCATCCTTCAGTGCCTTGGCATGTTGGTAGAATCCAAAGAAGGTCTATAAGGCCAAAGAGAAGTGAATGAGAGTGAGAGAATGGCTTAAGATGAGGTTAGAGAATTAATACAAGTCAGGACCTTGTAGACTTGACAAAGGAGGGTTGCTTTTACCACAAGAGCAGCAGGAAACTAACCAAAAAGTGAAGTGGAGTCAGATTTTTGTTTCACAGAATAACTTGGGGGCAGTGTGGAAGATGGTCTGGAAGGGAAGAGAATGAAGTCAGAATGGTCAAGTTAAAGGCTTTGAAAATGGTCCAGATGAAAAATGACAAAGGCAGGGGCTGGTTCTTTCACATCTTCCCACAGTGACTAGCATAGTGCTAGTAGGCGCACTGAAGGCTCTCAGTGCATCTATGTTGATTAAAGAACTATAAACTGTGTCAGGTTGTCGAATCTATCTTCAGGAGGTCACACTGTCTCTTCTTCCTTCATCCTTCCCTTTTTGTTTATAGCAGGGACGGAGAGGCAGGGAGGCATTATAAAATTGTATTATTAAAGTCATTTGCTATTTAGTGTCAAATGCTTCCTCTAAGTGCTGCTTTCCTTTAACCACTGCTGAGCTACTTCAAAGTAGAGTAGGAAAATATCAGTGCTTCTCAAGACAGCCAAGCAGCATCCTGCTCTCCTGAGATTTTGGATGCAGAGAGAAATTTGTTATTTGGGCTTGTTCAGGGCAAGAAGCAACACTCACCTTCAAACACTAACTTCCCAAAAGATCACAAGCACATGAATTGCAAATGCCACTTGGTATAATGTACACTTCTCCCTCTGCCAAAACCGGGATGTAATTACTTAGAAGAGGGAGGCAAATGTTTGTGGAAGTCTCCTGTCTTCATCTTCTCTTCCATGTAAGAGATGAGACGAGGGACTTTTTATTGCATCTCCGTTTCATTTTGCTGGAGAAATAGTTTGGTAATGAAAGACATTTAAAGAGGCCCATCCTTAGTCAGTCTCTAAGGGGACCTGGGGGGGGGGGGTCTCAGGAATGGGAGATAAGGGGGGGAAATCACCTAATAGGTCTGATCCTCCCCCCTGGAGAGGATAAGCATTCCTTTCTCACAGAGCTAGTGCAAGGACTCAAAGAAGAATGTGCATGAATTTGATCTGTAAACTATGAGGCAAGAATATTGTGATTCATTCTGTGTAATTGAAGGCAAAGACTGTCTTTTTTCTTGGTCTCCCACAGAAAGTTTAAACACAGTGAAAGGGCGTAATAAATAGATTTTTACTTTTAAATCAATTCCATTAACTATAGTCTGGCTTTTGATGGGGTCCGTGGAAAACAGACCATTCACTCCTTAGAATTAAATCCAACAGACTCAGATCTGTTAGCTTTTTGGTTTGGAATGGTGGAGGGAAAAATGGACAGTTGGGCAGAGAAGTACATGCTTACCTCTTGTGGCTGGCTTTGGCCTGCTGGAGCCAACACCCTTTCCCAAGAGAGCAGCAGCAAGAAGTGGCGTTTCAGTTAGCCCTAAAAGAGAATTTCAATACAGCATCTGTACTGGTGACAGCTGCAAGTGTAATCATTAAAATTAGCACACGCCCAGAAGACCAGGGCCCAAAGGAAACTGACCAAAGATGAGCTCCTACTTTGCATCACCAGTCAGAAGTATTACCATGAATATATTCAGGGAGCAGAAGGAAACAAAGGAAGGAACTAACTTGTGCCATGTCTCAGCAGGTGTACCCTGTGGTAGTGGGTTGGATAGTGTTTTATCTCATATAACTCTCACAACAACTTTACCATATGGAATTCTTCTCTACACAATGCCTGATACACAGTAAGGAGTCACTAAATGATAACTGTTAGTAATATAATATTGATAACCTTAATGATCATAAACTGAAGCACAGATGGCTAGAATAACTTGTCCAAGGTCACAGAGTTGCTAAATGGTAAAGCCAGGATTTGAACCCAGGTCTTTCTGCTTCAAAAGCTTGGGGGTTTTCTGCTGTACCACATTACAAGAGGATAAAGAAAGAGTTTGGGATTTTCCAACCCCTTATATCAAAGCTGTCTCCACAATTGGCCACTTGAGAACTTCAAGTATGTAAGCATTCTTCAGTCTCCCTCTCTCTCCTCATTCAGGTTTACAAATTGCTATGAATCATGGCCCAACTGTACTACAAAAAGGTCAACTACTCACCATACCGGGACCGCATCCCCCTGCAAATCGTGAGGGCTGAGACAGAGCTCTCTGCAGAGGAGAAGGCCTTCCTCAATGCCGTGGAGAAAGGGGACTATGCCACAGTGAAGCAGGCCCTACAGGAGGCCGAAATCTACTACAATGTCAACATCAACTGCATGGACCCTCTGGGTCGGAGCGCCCTGCTTATTGCCATTGAGAACGAGAACTTGGAGATTATGGAGCTACTGCTGAACCACAGCGTGTATGTGGGCGATGCATTGCTCTATGCCATCCGCAAGGAAGTGGTGGGTGCTGTGGAGCTTCTTCTCAGCTACCGACGGCCCAGTGGAGAGAAGCAGGTAAGAAAATACTCCTCGAGGCTGGGAAATAGGCAGGGAAAACAGGGCACCAGGGTCAGAAGCCTTGAAACTAGGGAAGGTTTGATAGGCTGCAGGTGAAAAGTCTCGTCAAAGCAACCCTCTGCATCGTGATCTCAGATATTCTTAGAGCTACCCTGCCTGGCTCATGCCGAGTTTCACTTATTTCCCTTTTCTGTTTTAGTATTTGCTCATATACAATCAATTATAATTCAAAAGTGTGCTCCTGTTTGGAGAATATTCAAGCTCCTTCTACTCTCCCTGTTGTCATTGTTCTAAGTTGCCAACTTATAGCAACCCACGTGTGCCAGAATGGAACTGCTTCATCGGGTTTTCAAGGCCGTGACCTTTCCAAAACAGATCACCAGGCTGGTCTTCTGAGGCATCTCTGAGGTGCTTTGAGCTGCCAACTAATTAGATAGGAGATACATATTAATTTGGGTGAAAGAAAAGGCAATAAACAAAAGGGGTGACCAGCACAATCACTAAGGAAAAAGACTGCATGGAGAGGTGCACAGTTACAGACAACAAAAGTACATACTATTACATAATCCTACATTATCAGTAATAACAAACATTTATCTATGAGAGGATACATAATAGACAGGTAAGATGATCAGGTTTGGGTAAACAAACAGGGCCATACCCATGACCATATATAGCTTTCACTGACAATATGTCTATATTTAGGTGGGGTTTTTTTTAAGTATTTTTATGTGCTATAAAAATATCCAGGTATATAGTAGAGCTAACTGGGGCAAAGTTATGAAAATTTCTTAGCCATTACCAAACACCTTGAAAGAATTAGCCACTGGGCCTGGGGGCTCAGGACCATAGTCTCAGGAGAATTCAAGATCAATTGGCATAACATAGTCCACAAAGATAATATTCTACAAACTACTTTGGTGGGTAGTGACTGGGGACTTAAATGTTTGCAGGAGGCCATCCAAGGTACAACTATTGGTCTCTATTCATCTGGAGCAAAGAGTGAAGAAAATCAAAGACACATGGAAACAATTTGTCCAAGGCACTAGTGGACCACATGAACCTTGGCCTCCATGACCCTGAGGCCAGAACTAGATGGTGCCCAGCTACCACTGCCAACCACTGTGAAAGGATCACAGGAGGAGGTCCTGGATAGACTGGGAAAAAAAGGTGGAACAAAATTCAAAATAATAAAAAAGAGACCAGGCTTATTGGTGGAACCCCTGAGACTATGGCCCTTTATCACTCTTCAGACCTGGAACTGAACTCACCCCCATGCCTCAACTTTCAGCCAAATAATACATAAGCCTGTGGGGTGAAAAATAAACCAGAGAGGTAAGGACTCTTTAAACAGTCAACCATACAAGATAAAAAGGGCAGCATTTACCCAGGGATGAAGCTCCGAAGGTAGGAAGGGGTAGGAAAGGATGATCTGATGCTCTGGAGTCCTGTTTCCTCCCTCTCCCTTGCCTCCGTGTCCTCAGCCTTATGGTTCCTTCCTTCCCAATATCTTTTACATTCTTTTCACACTAGCTCAGCTCCCACCACTCTGGCTCTAGTGTTCCTCCTCTCTCTCCTAGACCAGAAGTTGTCATCAGCATCACCTGGAACTTATTATAAATGCAGATTTTCTCTTTCCACCTGTGGTAGTTAAGTTTGTGTGTCAACTTGGCTGGGCCTGATTGAGTTGCTGGGCAGCTGGTGGTAGTTATTCACCATGGTAATCACCTCCACGGTGGGATCTACCACAAGCAGCTGAGTAGCTGCTTTAGGGATGTGGGCTGCTTCCCATATATAAGCATCAGCTTTGGGAATGTCTCTAGCTTATGGCATGCTTGAACTCTGCACGTAGCCAAGTCCATGTTCAGTAGCCTGCCATGATCGGCCGATCTTGGGACTTTCAATGGACTTGAATCAATGACCTGCTGTGTTGTTTGGTAACATCTGGGTGCCTTTTTGTCAACCTTGGGCTTGTTAGTCTCAGCAGCCAATAGCTGCCTGAGTGAAGAGAACCCTCTAGTTTCAGTGGGCCGGGAGCAAGAGGCAGAGCTGAAGCCCAAGGTTGAGGGGCTTTCACCCAGCCCCTAGAGCCTGGCACTTGAACTCAGACTTCTAGCCTCCAAAAATTGTAAGAATAAGCTCCTGTTTGTTAAAGCCATTCCATTTGTGGTATAGTCCTGTCAGAATGGCACTAGGTAATCAAAACACCACCCTGTTGTTATTGTTGTTATGTACCACTGAATCGGACCCAACTCATAGCAACCCCTCCTTGGGTTTCCGAGGCAGTATCACTATGGAAGTAGATTGCCCAACCTTCCTTCCGAGGAGTGGCTGGTGGGTTTGAACGGCCAGCTCTCTGGTTAGCAGTCAAGTGCCTTAGGCACTATGCTACCAGAGCTCCCAAAATACCACCCTAGACGTCCTGAATCAGAAATTCTGGGAGTGAGACCCAGCAAGTTGTGCCTTAATATGCCCTGTGAGTGATTCTGATGTCTGCTCAAGTTTAAGAACCAGAGTCCTAGACTAATATAAAAATCTAACTGGATTCCTTGCCTCTAGCCTTGTCCCTTGTTTCAAGCCATCTTGAACAATGATGCTAGTTTATTCTTCCTAAAATATCATAATCTTGTCATCCCCATCCATCCTTTCAATGACTAAAATGGATCGTCATTAGAAAAGAAACCAACCCATGAAACCTCACCATCAATATCCTTTATGTAATAGTCTTTTTCCAGTCTTATCTTCCTCTAATCCCCTTTTAGGAGCTCTTTTTTAATAACCCTTAAATCGGAAATATCTCTTCACTATCTCTTCTTTGGGAGCATAGCACTAGGCACATTAGCAGGGAGACAGGAAATACTGAATCATCAAAACTGGAATAGCTCAACATATTCCAATCAAAAAAAAAAAAAAAAAAAGCCCAAACCCACTGCCACTGAGTTGATTCTGACTACTAGTCACTCTCTAGGACAGATAGAATGGGTCCATAGTGTTTCCAAGGCTACAAGTGTTTTGGGAAGCAAACTGCCACATCTTTTCTCCTGCAGAGTGGCTGGTAGGTTTGAACTTCCAACCTTCTGGTTAGCAGCTGAACTTTCAAGCAATGTGTCACCAGTGCTCCTGTACTACATGTTGTTGGATCAATTATAACTCATGATAATCCCATTTGTGCCGAGTAGAACTGCTCCATAGGGTTTTCAAGGCCATGACTTTTTGGAAGATTTCCAGGCCTGTCTCCCAAGGCGCCTCTGGGTAGGTTCACCACCAACCTTTCCCCTAATAGTTGAGTGCTTAAACTTGTGTGCCACCCTGGGCCATCTCTGTTAGGTAGATACTATTATCATCATTCCCATTTTACCAATAAGATAAGCCAAGTCACAGGATGATTAAGTTGATGGCCTAATATCCCAGTTAGTACATACAGAACTAAGATTCAAACCCAGCCAGCCTAGGTCCTGAACCCACCCCTTAACCACTAGGCTAACCTGCTTCCGTAGCAGGCTATATGTTAGGATTCCCAGAAGAGGAGTTCTGAAACAGGTTAGAGAAATGAAGGCTGGAACAGCTCTCTGAAAAGGACAAGCCTGGAGTATTTGCATGAATAGCATAACAGAGAAGTGTGAGCATATCACATCCCTATTTGCCCCATCTAACCATCCCTACCAAATGGGTTAACTTTCCTCGTGTAAATGTTTTGTCTCTGAAACTGGAGTGTTTCTTAAATGTCAGGAATAGATCTAATGTCTGTTTATACCCTTCCCGCACCAGTAACTAACCAGTGCCTCGTATATAATGGGTGATAGATAAATATCTGCTGATGAATATGAAGGAGTTAAGTATTTCTCCCAGAAAAACACTTGACTAGCTGATTGAACTAGACCTTCATACTCAGTCCCATTCAGGAAGTCCCTGGATTATTAACATCTGACTTACAGACAACTCCTACTTGCCATTTAATGTTATCTAAATCTGCCCTCACTTTGAAACGATTAAACCAACAATTCCTCACAACAAACTCCTCACCACAATCACCTTCACTTGCTGCACATGCAGCTTTTAAATCATTGGAAAGTCTTTGAGCCTTTTTTGCACTAAAACAAAACAAAAAAAAACTTACTACCACTGAGTCAATTCTGACTTATAGCCACCCCCATTGGGGTTTCCAAGGCTGTAAATCTACACGGAAGCAGATTGCCTCATCTTGCTTCCATGGAGCAGCTGGTAGCTCTGAACCACTGACCTTTATGGTTAGTAGCCAAATACCTTAACCACTACACCACCAGAGCTCCTTTTTCTACACTAAAGTAATGCTAAATAAGAACCTTAAAGACACAGTTAGGGATGGATGTTCCTAACACTAGAACTACCTGTAGTTTCATAAGTATTTTAAGGGCGAGGAGAGCACAGGTGAGGTACCGAAAAAGGGACTAGCTATATCAGCCCTAGCTGAGTCCTTATTTGATGACCCCCATTTCTCCCATTCATTCTCCAGTGTTCTCACAAACCCTGAGGTTCTGCCTGTCAAGAAGAAAAGTACCAGATAAGCTTCCGCTAAAGTACAGTCTAAGGACTGTACTGTTTCCTCCCCCAGGGAAAGGCAGTACTTAACTCATAGGAATGAGCCACTCATGTTGGAATGTCAGGCATGTGGAACCTGGGTGAAGCTACTTGGAACAGGTAGTCATTACCCTTTTAGTCACAATGCCAATGTAAGACAACCTTTGTCCATACATGGAGACCACAACCATATATACAAACCTATAAAGCCATCAGCTCCGTTACCAAGTCTCTTCAGCAGCCTTCCCCTCCCTTTCTTCTCTCTCCCCCAACCCCCACCATCAGCTTCCGCTAAATTCCATTTTCTGCCATTGCTCTGACAATCACTGTCATATGTCAGTAACTATAACAACAGGCTGCCACAATGCTGGAACCCTGCCTTTCTAGGAGACAAAAACAAGATTTGTTTACCTGGGAGCAATCAGGCATGTGAGCAAATA